AAGGAAGGAAGGAAGGAAGGAAGGAAGGAAGGAAGGAAGGAAGGAAGGAAGGAAGGAAGGAAGAGGGAGGGAGCGAGCAAGCAAGCAAGCAAGCTTCCTAAGTTAAATGGAAGTAATACGTGCATGAATTGTGGGTGAGTAGAATGCTTTAAAAAAAATGACATTTAGCTGGACTTTTCATCTATATTCCAGAACCTTAGCAATCCAGATAAAAGGAAACCATACAGAGGAGATGAAAGGTGTTTTAAGAATTAATGTAGGCACCATGGATCGCAAGAAAAAGGTATGTGTCTAGGACAGGAATGAAGGATGCTTAAGAAGATTAATGCCATCTAAAAGGAAAATGGGGTGGGGGATGGAAACATGGGGAGAATCAAGCAGGCATGGCTGTAGGGAAAGTGCATGAACAATCAACAGGACAGTCTAAGAGAAAAGTTACTTGGCTGAAAAGCACAGGTATAAGATAAGATAACTGTGTAAAAGCAAGAATTCCATGCATTTCTATAAATAAGGCATACTATTTATTAACTGGATAGGAGAGTGGATGATAGAAAAGGGATATTACAGTCAGCAAATATGTACAAAGACAACAGCCGGTATCACAAAAAAAAAAAGGAAAACAAAAGTCTATAAATGATACAAAAGGATCTGGCAAGAGACCAGACTGACCAAGAACACAGTGCCAAGCCTGCAAAAGAGATCCGTGTTTCTCTCATATGTGCTTATAATGCAGAAAAATACGGATAGCTCTGAGAATGAGAAGGGTCCACATTGCAAGAGAAAGATCTACTGTTGACAAAGACCCAGGTCCAGGGAGGTAAGTTCCACAAGCATGTGTGTGAAACCTAGAATCAAATGAAGGAAAGTTGTTAAAATGTGAGAAATGAGATGGACAAGAGGCAGCATTTCACATCTAAAGTGAAAAACCTTCAGCTTCCCATTTCCCTGAAAGCTCTTAAATGGGACTCTGAACTTCTGCCCCTTATTCTAGGTGAATGGAGACTGACTGTAATGGGCATACATTCCACACATTCTCAGGAGCCCTCTCCTCTCCGGTTAGGAGTACATATTAAAGCTCTCATACAAAATGGGTTAGTCTCAGGGAGGTCCTACAAAGTCTAGGGGGGAAGCCAGGTCCAGAGTGTCTAAAGCAGGAAAGGAGAGTTGCAGCAGAAGGCAGTGGATAAGAAAGATGGCTATGGGGGTCGATGAGCACAGTATGGAGACGTGCAGGCCACGTAAATGGGATTGATGCAATTCTTTCTGTCTTCCTTCCTTTCAGAGGCTCAGCAGCTGCATGAGACACAGAAATTCCATAGGTGCAACCTCGCTCTGTTTCCTTCCACAAGCACGTGAAGAGGAATGGATAGCCTGCCCAATCTGTGTCACACACACACATGGGCAGGAAGAGGGAAAACAGGCACCAACTGCATGGAGAACCAAGTCTGGGGACTAAGTTGGCATGCTGAGAACACAGGACAGAGCAAACACACACACACACCCCGAAAGGAGAGCTAGGTAGGTATCAAAACAGTTCAAAAACTGATTCTGAGCTTGATCCCAAAAGCTGCCAGCAGTGGGAGGGAGTCACAGCAGTGCAGTAAATGTGAATCAACTTGCAAGGCTAAGTAAGGCTTTGGCTGAAGACTCAGGGGGCAGCTGGGCATGTCTGAACTGTATCTTTCCCTCAGCCACCAGCCTGCTGGGCAAAATACTTGGCATAAGTCAGCTATGGAAACCACCAAGCTCCCAGAGATTCAGCAAGAAGCTCCTGGCATTGGGTGACTTGTGAAGTACAGGTAGCAGCCAGAGTGTCAGATTAGCAATGGGTAACTCCAGGTACACATATATATATCTACTCAGAGAAGCCTGAAGCTCACTGGCTGACCTTGGGCTCTACTGTTCTCCAGCCTACCTAACAAGGTTGTAGTGAGAAAAAGAGAGGTCCGGCGGTGCGGAGAGTGTATAAATAATACACCGGAGGAGGGAAGAGGAGAAGAAAGAGGTCACTGCGCGAAGGAGCCTTCCTGCCCCGCCCCACAGACTCACCTGGGAGGTTTGACCGCGGCGCTCTCTCGCTTGTCCAAGACGCCCGGCACGCAGTTGGTGAGCTCGGTCCAGTCGGCGTGCAGCCCGCAGCTCCAGCCCGTGGAGAAGCGCGAGAAGAGCCAGGTCTCCCGGCGGTTGGGCCGGTAGCAGGTGCATTTCTTCTGCCCGGGCCGGCAGTCGCAGGGCACCTCGAGGCGCACGTTCTGCACCAGGTGGCGGCCGAAGGTGGTGCCGCCCGTCTTCTGGATGTGCAGGAAGACGATCACGTCGTCTCCCTTCATGTCGAAGGCCAGCTGGCGCTCCAACTCCCGCACGGGGAAGTAGTACTTCTTGACGTAGTGCGGGTCCGGAGTGGGGAAGAGGTCCAGCTCATCCTGGTAAGAGCGGCCGCTCGGCGAGCCCAGACTCAGCCCCGGCCCCACATACTGGTACAGGATAAGCATGAAGCACACCGAGCCCGCCACGATCAGCAGGAACTTGCTGTTCCTTTCAACCATGGTCCTTCCAGCGCGCTTCATATGCCACCATCTCCCGGCAATGGGGAGGCGGCGGCGGCGGCGGCTGCTCCTGGAGGTGTTGGCGGCGCCGAAATACGCTCCTCTTGCCTTGCTTTGCCTGAAACACCAGCACCGACAACCAACCGGCGCCCCCCTTTGCAAGAAGCGGGGATTCCCTGCCCCTCTCCTTTTTCTCTTCTCCTTCAGTCAGATCAGCGAAAGGGGGAGGCGAGGACGGGGGAGGGGGGCGTAGAGCGCGGTTCCAAATGACCCCCTCCCCCGGATCCGCCTCCCTCACAGCCCCGTCCCGCCTCTGCCTACGGGACTTTGTCTCCACCTTTACTCCAGCTCCAATCTGGCCGGGCGGTCGGGCTTACGCGACCCCCAGGCCCTCGTTTCCCGCCGGGCTTCCCGGCGGCGTCGGACCCCCGGGTGATTCCCGTCCGCTCTGCTTCCTTTTTGCA